TGTCTCTTATACACATCTAGATGTGTATAAGAGAACACCCCAAACACAGTGAACACACACAATCAAGAGCCCCATCTATTCTGGAGGCCAACAGTCTGGTTGCTTATCATCGGCGGCCAGCCTGATTGACCAAAGAGTGCTCTTCCACCGCTGCCTGCTTAGGGACTGAAATTTGAATTTGTGATTTCAAATCGTTACGCTATACGATTAAAAACAAAACATAGCAACACTCAAACAGAATACAGCACTTACCTTGCCTGCCGGCGTGGTCCCCACCTGTTCAGTGCCTTGCTTGGTCAGCTGGTTGCCACGGGCAAAAAGACTGTGCTGCATGAGTCAGTGAGAGTCTTCCGACTTCCAATTTTTCATCCTTTCCCCCCTTGCCGTCAGTGATTTACTGGGATAAAATCCTGCTCCGTAACACGTGATGACCGGATTTTCACTGACGCATCAGCAGGCTGAAGCAAGAAGCAATAGATCATTCATGACGATCACACATATGCATGTCAGTCACAAATACCTGTGTTGGACATAACACATGCAACTTCAAGTAGGCAAGCACATGAGGAGGCCAAAACCCTCTTTTTTTTTTTTTTTTGAGAAACCTCCGGCTTCCTGACAGTTTGCGTATACACCTTTTCCAATGCTCGAAGCCACAAGCTGCCTTAAACTGAAACGTGAAAGGCCCTTTTGAACCGCCAGTACACCTGAGTCTGGAGGACTCACACGGCGCGCCAAGGTTTGCCAAACCGCCAGCGGCGCACTTTTTTTTTCTTTTTCGGCTGGCACCGTCAGTCATTGTGGTCCCGTAGCCCCGGCCTCCGATATTTCAGGAGCGAGCCTTGAGTTTTCTGAAGTTGGCTGGGGCCATGTACTAGCAGTTTCAGGCAAAATCAAAAGTGCCTTATTTAGGAGTTATTACCCCTACTGGACAGATCACCCACCTACCACATTGGTCGACGGTCCTACAACTCTTTCTTCTTTCTCTTCTTCCAGCTGCTGTATCCCATATGTCCTTCAAATCCAAGAATGAAATGATGGTTCAAACTTCAAACTTTGAAATTTGAATCCATCTTTACTACTAGCTTACCGACTCAGCAAAGCGACTGCGTTGCCTGCTGTGTGCCTTCTTAACCTTTTTAAAGTTTTTTTGAATTTTTTCTGTATCGTAACTATCGTTCCAATTTCAACGGTTGTTCCTATGGACCTCTTTCTTTCTTTTTCTCTTTTTTTTTTTTTATCTGCACCCTTGTGGCCTAGGTATGGTTCTATTCTGGGGAGCAACAGTGTGCTTCCTTTTCCATCGGCAAGTAACAACATACATCAGTAAATTGGCACGCTTCCTCCTGTTATGGGACCGGAGTAGAGCATTGATTTCTCCAAAGTTGGAGAATTGACTCCCTTCTTCCCCCGAACATAACGCATATGCGTTGTAAGCGAATACAACGCATAGAGTGTGTTCTATTTGAATACAACATACATGCGCTCTATTCGAATAGCCCTAAATTTCGAATACAACGCATATGCGTTCTATAACTTCTTATTCGATTTTTTTTTCGAATTTTGAAACTCGAATACAGCGCACATGCGTTATGTTCGGGGGAAGAAAGTAGCTGGCATGCCCATTCCACTTTTCCAACACCCTCTCCAGCTTTGCTATCCTGCCCAAGAAACAAGCATAAAAATACTCTTTCGTTAAGTTTTGTACCATCTCCTGGACAGTTCTTCTCAGCATCTAGGTGCTGCCTTAGGAGGATTATTTTTGTGAAGATGGTCATTTTTTTTTTTCTTCTTGAGTTCCTCTCCTACTGCACATGTACAGACTGCCAGATCTGGTTTAAGCAGTGTAAATTTTGAAGATGATAGCTTGCTGCCTTTGCGAAAATCTGGGATGGCGCTTTTTCTTTAACAGTGATGCAGTCGTTTCCATCCCTTCAGTCGCTGCGTCTATTAGACTGTTCTTAAACTTCGCCATGCAACAGAAATCCGGGTTAGGAAAAAAACAGACCGGTGGTTTAAACCGCCAGTACGCGGCCCCAGCCTTGCAGAGAGAACAACTCGTCGCCGCCGCACTGTAGCACTGGCTCGGGGCTACCGAACCACGATGGTCGGCAGCGCCAGCCTAAAAGGGAAAAAACAAAAGTGCGCCGCTGGCGGTTCTGAAAAGCTTGCCTGTCGCGCAGTGAGACGCCTCCACCCACGGGTGTGCTGGTGGTTTAATGCTACTTTTGTCCGTCGTCCCCTCAAAAAAATCCATGCGCATTGCGCACTCAACCGGGTCTACCTTCTGGTTCTTTATTGCCACTGTGGGGCAGTAAATGGTATATTCCTCGTCTTCTATTTAGCTAAATCATCTTAAATGGTATATTCCTCGTCTTCTATTTAGCTCCGCTTGTGTGGAGAGTGGTGTCCTCGAGGGGCATACTCACACTAGCACTTTTTTACTTATTTTTGGACGGAATTGCAGCCAGATGCATCTGACTCCCCGACCGTAAATGCGGTCAGGTACATTTAAGACAGTGGTAGTGTGAGTACGCCCTGAGAAGCTTATCCCTTCGAAGCCGTGTTTCCTCAATTCCGTACTTATCTCAACTGAGTCACTTCTGATACAGCCCCTCCTTCCTCTGTGTCTGGCAGGTCCCACCGGGAACCTCCTTCTCACGCTTCCACGTCACTCATTCCCTTCCTTCCCATTTATGACCGTTCCTAGCTCTACCTGGGTACTCTCAGCCTTTACTGCGCGCTAGACCCTACTGGATGTTCCCTATTTTGGGCCCAAGCATCACTGCAGTCTGTAATTCACTCTCAAGGCCTGAACCTACAGTAGACCTATAGCTGTCTACATTCGGGCTTGGACTATCATCATGACGTACCGGAAAGCTACTGCATTCTCCTAGGCCTACCTGAGTCGCTGGAAATCCTACTCGGCCCTTCGCACGTTGTACTTTTGTCCGCGTCTATGGTAGCATTCCTTGAGTCTGTCCACTCTTGTCCAAAACATTTTGGTCCTACCCCTGTACCCACACCTATCTCCCGGTTTACCCCCCGGCAAAGCACAGATTCCACAGAAGCACAGCGCGGCAACGGAGTTATCACACGGACACATACAAAGGCCCAGCAAGCAAAACAGACTCCGACTCGGAAATCACAGCAAATCAGGATCTTGGACGCATATCTGTTAACCTGATTTGCTTGGTTGCCTGTGTGTGCAAGAGTCTACCCGTTACCCTGATTTCCAAGTCTGAGTCTGTTTTGCTTGGTTGCCTGTCAGCCTGACTTGCATCAGATGGACTCTTGGACACACAGGCAAGTTGAGGCGACGAAGCAAAAAACAGACTCAGACTCGGAAATCACAGCAAATCAGGCTATTAACAGGCAAACACACGAATACATACATTGTCACGAGGATGCGCAGAGAGGAAACGCAGCAAAAAAACAGACTAAAAATTGGGAAATCTCAGCAAAGCAGCAGATCAAAGGCAGAAACTTTCTCAGAAGAATGCAGATTTCGCAGACTGATAAAACAATGCGGGTCATGACCTAGGTAAAGCAAGTGGGCATGCAACTGAACTTCTGCGTTAAAGCACCAGCATACGGCTACGTGGGCCGCGGGCCCGACACCTCGAATCTCGGAAGCGTGAAACGAAAAACAGGGACCGCCGATACTATTTATCAACGGCAGGCCCTACGTTGGACGTTTCCAGCTCGTTTTCTTGTGCCGACAAGTTTCGGACTGCAAGGCTGGGGGCGTGTACTAGCGGTTTCAAATAAGTTTTCAATCATAAGTTTTTCAATCGTTTGCCTCTGGCTCAGCAGGCATCAGGAGTACTCTTGCACACACAGGCAACACAGCAAAACAGCGACCTGGAAACCACAGCAAATCTGGCGAATAGACAAGCACACAAGCATACATACATCGTCAGGAGCAGGGGATGCAGACTCAGGAACCATACCAAAACAGACCAAAACTTGGAAATCCCGGCGAAGCATATCATCAAAGGGGCAAAAAAACTTTCTCAGAAAAATGCAGGAGGTTCTCCGGGGGGGGGGGGGGGAAAAAAAAAAAAAAAAAAAAAAAAACTACGTGCCAAATTAGTACATGGGTCATTACATAGGTAAAGCAAGCAGTCGTCTGAGTTATGCATTCATTCAGCATTACTGCCATTAAACCACCAGTACACCGGGCCTGCAGGTGCCTTACTGCACTCCAAGCTTTTCCGAACCGCCAGCGACAAACTTTTTTTTTTTTTTGTTCAATGGCTGGTGCCGCCAGCCGTTGTGGTCCCGTAGGCCGAGCCTCCGAAATTTTTGTAGGAGACGAGTTTCTTTTTCAGCAAGGCTGGGGGCGTGTGCACTGGTGGTTTAATATCAGTTTTTTACTCAGTCAAGTTAAGTCAACTGCATTTTGCACTCTAGACTCATCTGAGAACATGGGCCTCGCTGCACTACTCTCCAAATGTGCGAAATGAGACTGAATCCACTGCTAGAACATGGAAAGATGCATTGCCATCTTTTTTGTCTTTTGTGCATGTGGAGAGTAGTGCAGCGAGCCCCCATGCACAAGCACGTGCTTGCAAAAATTAGGTGAAAAAGTGCAGAGTCGCTGTTGTCGACGAAAGAGTATTCTCGCTCTAGTGTGGCCTATGCTTCCCCGCTTCCGACATGGTCGCTTTTCTTTTCAGTCAAAAGAGCTGACAGCGAGCAACAAGTCTGTTTTGTTTTGCAGGTATCAGGATACGACAGATGCAAACGGGATCCAGCGACTGCTCAAGAATCAGCACCCTAACATGAGCCAGCGAGCGGCGGAGTTACTCGGTTCACCGTTTGAGCCAGACTCCCGTCCGAATCTGTTCGGCGAACTCATGAGAGCGCTCCTTCAACCTAGAAGAAGGGTGGAGGAGGCTGTTGACTGGACTCTTCAAGGGCGCGGTGACCCAGATGCGACAATGCATTTTCGGATGCAAGGGCACAGGTGCGGACAGACAAAGCAAGCCCCAGCATGTAAGGGATGCATTGCCTGTGAATGGTGTGCTGCCTATGCCTATGGGAAATGACTTCCTTTCTACTAGTTTCTTGGTTACAATGTGTTGATTTGGATGTTAAGACCCAGACAATTTAGGTCTGGCATTTGGTGTGCAGACATGCCGATTCGAAACTCGAAAAAAAACTCATGCCGATGCGAAACTCGAAAAAAAACTAACTCCAACTGAGTCCAACAGTCTTTTCAGGGGGAGGGGTTGTGGCCCTCTCTGGTCATTAGAGTTCGTCTCTCTTATTTATTAGCTGTTGGTAGAAGGGTAAGGATGACCTAGAAAGAAGGTTTTGTTTCTACTTTGTGAGGGAACTCTAGCGAATTCCAAACAAGCTTTTTCTCTCGAAAATGCTTTGCAGCCTTTTTTTATTTATTGCACCCCTCGTCCATTTACTCCACACATTCAAAATCCTCAATAGTTCCTGGAAACAAGACCAGATTCAGGCTCGTCTTTTCCATCCACTTTCATTTGTTTGGACTAAAGATGACTCGAAAGGAGGTTTTCTTTGTAATTGGTGAAGAAACTTGATCGAATTCCCAACAAGCTCTCTCTCTCTCTCTCTCTCTCTCTCTCTCTCTCTCTCTCTCTCTCTCTCCCCAAAACACTTTGGAGCCTGATTTTTTGCACCCCTCGTTCGTTTACTCCACCTGTTCAAAATGTTCAACAGTTTCTGGAAACACGCCCAGATTCAGGCTCCTCTTTCCATCCACTACCATTTGGACACAATGATCCTTGGCTGAACAGATGTTGCCACGGGCCTCCGTCCCTGGCTCACGCAAATTCGCTTGATGAGTGGGGTAAGGGTGTGAATGGCAGCTGCCTAGGGGTTTTTCAAGGGTACCTGGTGTGGATGTTTGCTATTTCTTTTTCTTGCACAACCACTTCCAATGTCTCAGGACTACTGAAGAGGAAAACGGCTTTATTGTCAAATCTGAAATGCCCTCAAGAACTTAGAAAACGGACGCACCATGAAAAATGATTCATGAGTCAGGGGAAAAATGTGAAATTTGTAAGTAAATGATGTAAATCCCATTTATCATGATTTATCATTTATGTCCTTTGTTGTCTTATGCGGCTTCATGGGGGTAGGCTTCTCGAAGTTCTTCAGGTGGCAACATTGTGCGCAAAGTCGGCATTGGAGGCATCGGCAGTGAGTGAGGAGCCTGGATTCAGCAATGGTCAGTTTGGTGGCAAGGGTACTGATGGAAGAGATAGACACAGTGTGGCTATGGATGAGAAGGACCTACCAAAAGGGGATGAATCAGCATTGGCAGCTCTGGCGAAAGAGTTGGAGTGGAAGTTAGGTCGTCGCCCCCGAATAGTCGTTGTGTCTGATACTCCAGAGATCATAGAGAGAATGATCTCCCTTCTTTCTTCATTTGCGGATGTGAGTACATCCCTCACTTTGCCTAGATCGTGCCCATGTTTGGCGAGTGAATTGTCGTGTCCAGATCATCACAGCTGCTTTGGCCAACTGGTTATCACACTCCCGAAAAGAAAGATTAAAAAAAAAAGTCCCTCTCCTGTCGCTGAATGGGACTCACATAGAGCAGGGCCAAGCCCAGTTGGCACACCCATGAACTGTTGATATCCAGACTCCTCAAGTCCAAATCCAGATAGTACGACCAGATGCACAGAATCAAATCATTCTGAATTGCCCGGGGCCAGTCAGTTCAATCATTCAATGATGGTATCTCAAGGCCGTCGCTCCTCTTTTTTTTTTTTCTGTTTTTTTTGAAGGAACAGTTTGTAAACACTATACGATCCTTTCTCATTGGATGAAGAAAGAAGTCCACCATTAATTAATGAAGTCTCCACAAACAGAAAGGCGACATCATCATCGTAAAAGCCTTAATTCTGAGGATGATCTCACCCCAATCAAAAAAAAAGAGGCCTTGCAAATGATGCTTTCACCAAGCAAGAAAAAGAAGTGCAGCGCAGCAGAAAAAAAGACGTTGATTTGAAAACGCATGAGAGAGCAACAAGAAGAAAAACAAGATGTGAAGAAGAGACAAGAAGGTTACTCAAACCTTAACGATGATCACCTCCTTCAATCTCTACCTTCTCCTCAGTGCATCACCGTCTCTCTTATTACCAAGAGCCCCAAAGAATAAATGGATCATTAGAATACTCCTACTGTCCTACACGAAGAACTACCTTGGCACGACATGGCTCTCTACCAGATTCACAACCTAGTACCCTTCCAAACAGACCCCCCATATAGAGGGATACCACTGGCTCATGAACGCATCATGGACCCCAAGAAAAGAACAGGGCTGGACAAGCACCAACCTTTCATTCAACAGGGACCTCCTGAGCAGCCACTGGAGAACGCTAATCAAGCACTGGCGCGAAGCACTCCCGGAAAAGGTAAGGAAGCCGAGGACAAAGGAAGAAGTGCTGAGACAACCCATCTTCGGTAACCCCCTTATCATGGACGGGGCAGGCAAACCATGGTTCTTAGAAGCCAGGGGTAGGAGATGGAGAAAACGGGTGGAGAAAGGAAAATGGAAAATAGGCCACTTATGGCTGGATGAAGAGCAAAGATGGAAGGCAGCCACAGAATTGAGGCCTCAGCTCAAGGGAGTCCACAACCTGGAAAAGAACCTAGAGGAAATATTAGACAGCATACCGTTAGAATGGAGAGCCCTACGAAAGAAGGACATCAAATGGGAAGTAGGAGATTGGGCAACGGACAAACAGCAATCAACGCCATCAGTAGCTCTCAAATTCCTTAAGGAAGTAGACACCCTCAGCAACACCGCAGAGTTCGAAGTACACGAGCTAATGAACAATCACAAGACAATAGCAGAAATCGAAGAGGAGAGCATAACAACGTCAGAGTTTAACTTAAAAAATATGAGGAAAGTCATAACATGGAACCGAAAAAAGAACCAAACGAGCACAAAGTTACGGACACAAACCGGACAAACTACTAATATTCAGACCAAACAAGGATATCAGTGAGTTGGAAGTGGCGTGGACCCATGGGAGTGGGGATGGTTCATTAAACTTGGCAGAGGAAGAGCAAGAAAACTAGTCAATCTACAAGACTATGACGTAAAGTTAGGCTACAAAATAAGGAACAAGACAGAGGACCCACGTAAAGTTAGGCTACGAAATAAGGAACAAGACAGAGGACCCACGCCTGGCCATATCAAGAAGATGGACCAAACATCTAGGAGAAGAACGTGGATGGCCTTCCGAAATTCCATGGGATTATTACAGCAGCCTAAAGCCCCCTAGATTCAGAAGCCTACAATGGCTGATTCTCTATTGGGCGGTCCCAGTCAATGAATGGCTGGACTCACGCAGAAGAGAAGATCAGAGGACGGAACATTCCTCTCACTGCAAAATGTGCAGGGAGAACAAAGAAGAGTCGCTCATCCATTGCTTGGTAGAGTGTGCACACGCAACTACTCTATGGGGTTCGGTCAAAGAGACCTGGTCCAACATTTCCTTTTTTAATCCATACCCAGAACAAACCAACTACGTACTATCAGCAAGAGACACGGAAGGAAACCTGTCAGAAGAGGAGAAAACTATAGCTGACCTATGGAGAAGAGCGGCACTATGGGTCATATCGAAAACCAGATGCAAGGGAACTCTAGGGGACCAAAGAATAACAAGCGAAGAGGATTGGAGAGAGACAAAATAAATAGTAGAAACAGAAATTAGAGCACAATGGAAAATAGAACTCGGGAAACAAGAAAGGTTAACGGACCCGCAAAAGAGAGAGCAGAGTCTGAAAGCGTTCGAAGAAAAATGGCTATTAACTTAGTATTAAGTAAGAAAATAGCAGAAATAAAGGACAGACACCTGAAGTTCCGTAAGTGGGACACAGAGCAGCAGGACACGGAGGAACGACAGGAAGAAACCTCACACAAAACCGAAGAACACGCTCGGATACAGGAATTTAAGAAATGCTATCTAAAAAGTTAGTAAAAACCAACAGCCCGAGCCGGGAAAAGAAACCAACCTTCGGAAACAGAAAGCGCAAAAACAGAAAATAGGTAGTACGATAAAACAGACCTCTTAATTAGGAGCTAACAGAAATTAGAGTGTAAAAAAAATAAAAAAATAAAAAAATTAGAGTGTAACCTACGCTAAAACCAGACCCATACTGGTAGATCCCATCCTCTCGCACAAGGTTTCAAGCCGAACAGACACCAAGTCAGGCCCCAGAAGGGGGAAAAGGACAGCTTGGCCCAATAAAAAAGGACAGACCCACCCCCAAAGTTAGAGATACACAACAATAATACCAATACACCCATCATCTACTCTATCTCAGCCATCACCGTTATCAAACCAACCTCTTAACACTCAACCACCTCCACGACAGCAACCTCATCGCCACCTCCTCCTCTACACATTTCCTTCCATTCCCTCCCCCCCCCCCCCCCCCCAAACACCCGAGCAAACCCATA